AGAGCTGGTCAGGCTGCCAGGTGAACAGCATTGCCGTCCCCCTCATTTGCATGCCGAGACCCACGGGAATCCCCGTGCCTCAGTGGTCCCTATGTTGATCTCCTGCAATCAAACGCCATTGCATGAGCCCCCTCTGCAGACCCCTCACCTTCTCCTGACTGTGCCCCCTTGTTTCATCATCAACTGCCCAGCTGCTGGGCCCATGTGACTCAGAATCCATAAAACACTCTGTATATGTTCCAAAAGCTTGTGGTTGGCGGTGGAGACCACAACCTGGGAGCAGGCTGTCGGAAGTCACTGCAGGGGGCCTGGGTGGTCTTTCCACAAAACTGCGGAGGTCCAAGGCGAAAGGGGTCTTTCCTGACTGAACCCAGGTGTCCTGTCCCGCGGCTCCATCGAGGCTCCCCGACACTGGACATCTACTCCAATGGCTCACTCTGCCCCCTTCAAATTAGTAGGACTACAGATCCCAGCATCCCATGGCGGGCAGATCATGGGCACTGCAGTCCAGTGCATCTGTAGGGAGGCTGCTTGAGTTCTTACTGGAATTCTTCTCTGTCCTGGAGGGCGAGGTGAGACGTCTATAATTCCGGAGAAATGGGCTTTTTCTGGTATAGCAAAATGTGCTATTTCTGCACATCCTAAACTTCCGTGGGGAGTCACACCCTGTATCCATTCCTGTTTATTGTCAGTTTCCATTTTTTACCTGCACCTCCATTGACCCCCACAACCTCCCGTTAGAGGAAATTGTGTGCGTGTGTTGTGGGAGGGCATCCGGAACGTGAATGAAAATAGTATTGCGTGGCTGGCTTGCTGAGGAACGGAAGGGCGAGGCTGCCTCCGGACAAGCGCATCCGAAGGCATTCCCAGTCCTCCTGTGCAAGCCTTATCCACATGGCCAGGAGCGGCACAACCATGCCGTATTGCCAAGAGCGTAACAGAGAAACCTAGGAACAGCGCGAGTGAGGAGGGGACTCCCGGGCCATCTAGTCTGACCCCCGGCTCCAGCTGGCTCCACTCACGACATGCCCACCATGTGCACGTCCAGCCTGTCCTTGAACACCCTCCCCGATGGGGCCTCAACCACCTCCCAGGGAAGCCCATTCCACACCCTCGGGGTCCTAACCATCAGAAGTGCTTCCTGGCATCCAAGTTGAACCTTGGCTCCCTGAGCTTTGCGCCATTGGAGCCCCTCCTGCCCTCCTCTGCAGGGGAGAACAGGTCTCCACCCATCTCCATGTGACACCCCCTCACATACCTGCATGTCGCCAACAGATCCCCTCTGAGTCTCCTCTTCTCCAGCCTGAAGAGACCCAGTTCCCTCCGTCTCGCCTCATACGGCTTCCCCTGCAAACCGGCCACCAACCTTGTGGCCCTACGCTGCACTGACTCCAACCTGGCTATATCCTTTCTGTAATGAGGGGCCCAAAACTGAGCACAATACTCCAGTTGCGGGCGCACCAGAGTCGTGTAGAGTGGTAGTAATACCTCTCTCGATCCAGAAGCCACACTTCTGGCTCTGCTGGAAGAATGCAGTGCCCCCAAAGCTGAGCACAGCTCTGCCTTCTGCTGTGGCCCCCGACTTACCACTGAAATTTGGTGGTGCCGGGAAAGTGTACTGCCCATGTGAGTCCTGTGTAGAGCAGATCCACTGGACTGGATGGGGCTTCTGGGACCTCCCCCAGGGGCCCCTGCGCTTGCAGCTGAGGGGCTTGAAGCAAGATTGCCTTCCCAGGAGGTCTCGGGGGGGGGGTGCTGCTCTGCACACCCCGTTTTCAGGCAAAATTGCCTGCTCTGCCACCACCACCCTATTGACTTTGGGGGCAGCAAGGAAGGAAGTGGGGGTCCCACGAAAGGCCTGGGGGGCCCTGCAACCCCCCCCCAGCCCATCCAGGCCAATGCCCCAGCTCTGTCTCTTGGGATGGAGGAGTGCAGGCGTGTGGAAAAGGGGCTTCCTTCTTGCGCCCCAAACCTCCCGCCCAGGACCGGGCGCAGATGAAAGGAAGGCTGTCTTCACACAGCACAGGGGGCGCCCCAGACTCTGAGGCCCCAGGGTGTGGCGAGGGATGTGGAGAGGCTTCTGGAGGGGATGAGACCTGTCCGGGGAGATGGGGGGGGGGGCGCGTGCCAGCCGCTCGGGGCACAGAGAGGGAGACGGCCGGCTCTCGTGCCCCGCTTGCTCGCTCGCTCTCTCGTGGGCCGGACCCGGAGGGAACTTTCCTGGGAGTCTGGCCAGGCAGACAGGGACCCCCCTCCCTCGAGCTGCAACAAAGGCCCCCTTTCTCTGCTCTCCCTGGGTGGGGGCGCTGGCCTCCCCGTGCGCCCCTCGTCCTCTAAATATTTGAAGAGACGTTCCCTGCCCTTAATCCTTTCCCCCAGACTAAACATGCCCCACTCTTTCCGCTCTTCTTTCAACATCCCCGCTCTGAGACAAGGCAGTCTGCGGCTCCCCAGCCCGCGAACTGCAATGCCCATCGCCCTTGCTGGCTGGGGCTAATGGGAGCTGGAGTCCTGCACCACTGGAAGGGCTGCCAGTTCCGCTCCCTTCTAACGGGGCAGCTGATGGCGCCCGCCCCCCCGCATGGCTTGGCTCCGACGCTGAAGTCTTCCGTGCGCGTTCCCAGGCCAGGCGGCCTGCAGGCGCCGTGGTGCAGTCCTGGCACCTCAGAGGGTCGCCGTGGGGGGCAGAGAAGCCTGTTGGAAGCAGAGCCCGTGGCCCCAGCTCCACCTGGAAGGACCAGGTAGCAGGTGCGGGAAAGGCTCCAGCTAGCACTGCTCAGAAGCAGCTGGGGCGGGGGAGAAGAGGGGTGCTGAAATGGAATCCGGCCCTTGAGCAGCAAGGGGCCGAGCACGCCTGAGCCCCCTCTTACCCTCTGAAGAAACGGGGGGCCACAGTCTTAGAAAGCCAACCGCACCTGGGCGCCTGGCACCGTCCTTATTTGTTTTTTGGTGCCAGGCCAAGACCTTTTTATTTAAACACTATTTTAACTGTTAATGGTTTATTTGACCAGGCTGGATCCTCTATTCTATTCTATTCTATTCTATTCTATTCTATTCTATTCTATTCTATTCTTTGTATTTATTTATGAATTTTTTGTATTTTATATGCAATTTTAATGATTGTAAGCCGCCCCGAGGCTCATGCGATGGGGCGGCATATAAGTTGTTTAACTGCATGAATGAACAAGCACGGAGAGAGCAAGAGGGGCCATCCTGCGCTGCCTCCTCGGGAGAAAGGCGGCTTGGGCAGCCTCTGCTGCTGGGGGAGCCTCCCGTGGCCGGTCGGGCTGCCCCCCCTCCGCTCCCTTCCACTCTTCGCAGGCAACGAGCCAGTTCACAGGGAGCAGCAGCAACCCACGGGCGTACACACGTCTGAACCCAGGCACCCTGAGCTGCTTGGGGCTTAAGCAGCCTGCAGGAAGCCATGGTTTGTTCCTGGGTCAACTTTAGCTTCCGTAAGCCGTAAACAACCCAGGGTGCCCAGCCTTGGACGTCACGAGAACAGAGGAGGAGCTTGCGAGTTGCACAGTGAAGGCAGAGCAAGGCGCGTCCCGCAGGCAGCCTCCTTCCGGCCCCTGCGCGCGCCTGGCCAGGCGAGGGTTAATCGGGGTCTGCGACAGGCGAGCCGGCTAGGCTGCAGCTGGAGAAACTGAGGAAGCGACGCTTCACCCTGACCCTCTGGCACAGCACGTGGGCATATTTCTCTGCAGACGCTAATATTGCAAATGCCACTGCGCCACGGAAGCCGCGTGCAGACGCAGGCGACCGGGATCGGACGGGCTCGCACGGCTCGCGTTGGGGTCATCTCTGCCGATTCCATTGCTGGGTCGTCCCTGCTTCTTCAGGGCTCGTGACTGGCAGCTCCCGGGGTGTGCAAGCCCTCGTGCCAGCCAGCCAGCCAGCCAGCCAGCCGCCCACAAGCGGCAGCTGGACTTAATTACATCGAGGAGAGCGCAGTGCTGGCCCCAAATTGCTGGTGCAGAGAGCACAGCCGGTTATTAAACCATTAGGAGGAGGAAGCAGGCAGGGCCGGGTGGGGTGGGGAGACTTGGCCTTCTGAGGCTCGGCTTTTTTAAGGATGCGAGTGTTTTCCGCAGGTGGGCAGCTAAACAGCAAAAGACGTGCTCAGACTCTGGGGGGCTTGCTTCGCACCCAAAAGCCAGCCCAGCGGAGCCAGAAAGGAAAACAAACCAAAATTATACCCCAAACTTGGCCTGGGAGTTACGCTGGGTGGAGCTTTAGAAGGACTGCAGTCTCGAAAGGAGGCCGGTGGTGGCCACCCTATGGATGCCCAGCCTGGGAAAAGAAAGGCCTGTAACTCTCGGGGAGCACCTCCTCCTTCCAGCTAAGCATGTGCAGGATGGCAGCCTTAAGATTCACTAGGACATCTCTGAATGCCGAGGAGCCCACCCAAAGCAGTCTTCTTGTTCATAATTCTTCGCGAGATGTTTTCACCTCTCGCACCACCAGTGCGAATTACTTCATGGGGCCACACGAACTTCCCCAGCCAATTCGTGCACCAGGAAATGCAACTGGCATTAGCCAAGGGCCGTTTGCTCGCTGCGAATTGGTTGTGCCACCCTGGACAATGCTCCACCGCACGAAGGGCACATGTGCAGAGAAGGTGTGGGGGAAGGGCTGGGGGGACGTCCTGCCCCCTGCGGACTCCCGTGTCTTGGCCACGGGGTTGCACGGGAGGAGAGAGGCCTGCCGCTGGGACAGGCCACCCCAAGCACCTCCCTCCACCCCTTGCTGGTGGCGGGGGGACATTCTGGAGGGGCGCCTGGGCGGGCAAGGGCGGGCTTGGAGGCGCAAGGGCAGAGGCAGCCTCTGAGGCGGACTCGGGCAAGGCGGTGCCCTCCTGCGTGCGGGAGGACAGCGCCCATCCTCCCCAGGCAGCCTGGCTGAGCAGGCGGTGACACCCGCTGGGCCGGCCTGCTCCCGGGGAACCTGCGCCTGTCCCGCCTGACGGCGCCCGGCGCTCTGCTCTCGCCCTGCAGTGTCCCGGCCGCGGAGCCCTCCGGAGGACCTGAAGGAGCTGCTGGGCGCCGTGAACCGGCTGAACGAGAGCCTGCGGGAGCTGCAGCCGGGCGCGCCGCCGGCCGCCCGCGGAGACTTCCTGGAGCACCTGTGGCGCCTGCAGGAGCTGCTGCAGAACCACTCGGAGGCGCTGGCGGCGGCGGGCGGCTCGCTGCGCGCCCTGGACGCGGCGCTGGGCGGCCTGCGCGCCCAGGCGGCCCGCGCCGAGCGCGCCGTGGCCGGGCTGCGCGACGGGCTGCGCCAGCAGGGCGCGCAGCTGCAGGCCGAGCTGGGCCGGCTGGCGGTGGAGGGCAACAGCAGCCGCCTGCGCCTGGAGCACCACGAGGCGCGGCTGCGCGCGCTGGCGGCGCAGGTGGAGCGCGTGGGCGACCAGCTGGACGAGGTGGGCGGCGAGGTGGGCAGCCTCAACCGCAGCCTCTCCTACGACGTGGGCATCCACCACTCGCGCATCCAGGACCTGCAGGTGCGCATCAGCAACGCCTCCGAGGACGCGCGCCAGATGCGCCTCGTCCACATCGCCATGGAGCGGCAGCTCAAGCACGAGCTGGCCCTCCTGGGCAACGTGACCGAGGACCTCCGGCTGAAGGACTGGGAGCACTCCGTCGCCCTGCGCGGCATCTCCGTCAAGCGAGGTGAGGCGCGGCGGCGGGCGGGGGCGCGGCGGGCGCCTCGGGAATGGCGGGGGGGGGCATTCAGAGCGCGGGCCTGAGCCCTCCCGTGAGGCCTCGCTGGTCCCGGGATGCAGCCCTGCTTCCCACGCGCTCGGTGCAGGCGGCCTTCCCCCCTTTTCGCGGCGTTCTTCCTCCGGCTGCGCTGCTTGGGAAGGGGAGGGAGCAGGCCTCTTGCGCAGAGCAGCGGGCCGAGCCCCTCACGGGGGTGCGCAGCGCACACACAGCGACGCGCCGCAGAGAAGCCCCGCCTGGGGATTTTGGCCCCCTGCGCTTCCTACTGCTGCTATCCTGCACGGCTCGCCTGGACACATCGGGCCACACAGAGGGTCGCCGTCCTCTCCCCCTGAAGCCCGCCCCATAGCGAACGCTTCGCCTTTCTTTCAGAAAGAGGGTGGGTGTCTAATCTTCGAATGTGGATGTGAGGCTGGGATGTCCATCAGCACAACATAGAAACATGGAAACAGAGCGAGTCAGAAGGGGTCTCCCGGGCCATCTAGTCTGACCCCAGCTCCAGCCGGCTCCGCCCACGACATGCCCGCCATGTGCGTGTCCAGCCTATCCTTGAACACCCGCACTGAATTCCACCTCCAACCTCATTGCAGTTCCCTGTCAGATTGCAAGCTTTGCTTCTGTCTTCACAAAAACGGATGTGTGTTTTCACGGGCATTTCCCCAAATGTAGGCAGTGCAGGCATCAGGTGTGCACGTTTCCTTCTGTACCTCGGCGTGTGTTTGTGTGCATTTTTCATGCACTTTTCCAAAGAGCTGTTAAGCAATTTTTCACTGTTCCGCTGATCCCATCACAAACTTGATAAACATACGGACTTTGGTTCTTGAGGTTGCAAAGTGGATTCATTCTGGTTAAAGCTGAACTCTCTGCACCGTTTGTTGTTACAATAATTTAAAGAGACAAACATCCCCTCAGTTGATTCTCAACATCTGGATTATGCCACCTCGTGGTGAGAGAGCAGGTGTGCAGGTTTCTGATACCCAAACACAAGTTTGGTACCCGAAGGGTGGTCTTTTCCTATATTGCTGCTGAGAAAAGAAGACCATCTAATCAAATTAAAAATTAGTCCCATCTGAGATACTGCTGCGATCAATTTCATAATTTAATCAAATTGTATACTTGTTAGTGTGTGCCTTTTTGCAGTCTCTCACTCTTTCTCTCTCCTGGTAAAGCGGCACTTGGACCAGCCAAACCAGGGCTTCAACTGGAATTAAACTGGAGAGTGTTCCTTAGGGCCAGGCAGACGGATCAGTTTACTCCCGGCCTGTATCGATGTGGCATGTCCACTCCACCTCATTTCCCTATTTCGCGTGTGTGACTAACTATTCATTATGAACATGCTTTCTCATAGGATATGCACTTATAAATGCGTTTAGGTACAGATACGCATTTATAAACATATTTCATTCCAGAATACACATTTTAAGATATTTTGGTGCATTTTTGAGCCAAGGATTCCATGCAAAATCTGTGTACATGCTACTGCCGAAAGACGCTAATATCCGTACAGGTTCAATTAGGCTGGGTGCTGGTCAGGCCAGGTTGCGTAAAAGCTTGCAGGGAAAGACAGCCCCCTCGTCCTCCCCTTCCGGTGCCGCTTTTCCCTCCTGAGGGAAGGAAGCAGCTTAAAGGCGTCTGTGGGCCGGAGTTCCAGATTCGGTGCAAGGCCGAGCCAGCCCGGTTCTGGAGCACTCGCCACCGGGGTCCTCCTCCTCCGGCCCGCACATCGGAGCATTTTTGCCAGCTGGGGAGGGAATGCGCTCTGGGGGCACCAGTCCCTGTCTTCTCTGCTCACCGTGCTCCCAATGGCATGGAGGAAAGTTTGGGGGGGCGTCTCATAGCCACCCCCCCCGGAGAGTCCGAACAGGCAGGCCGCTGTGTGGATCAAAGCCATGGCCCCAAGCAGTTCTCGCAGGTTCCATCTCCAGCAGGAGCGGCTCTTCAGCAACGTGAGACAGTCTCCACTGTCTGTTCAAAGCCAGATATTTTGCAAATTGTTGTTGTTGTTATTCTGCATTTCTACCCCGCCTTTTTTCCTCTTGCAAGGAACCCAGAGCAGCTTTCATAGAATCATAGAATAGCAGAGTTGGAAGGGGCCATGAAGGCCATCTGGTCCACCTCCTGCTGTTGCAGGACACCAGTTCACACCACCCCACTCAGAGGGCTACCCGGTTTCACCTTCAAGGTCCCCCGTGTGGGAGAGCCCCCCACCTCTCCGGGCAGCTGGTTCCTCTGCTGTATTGCTCTGACAATGAGGAAGCTTTTCCTGATGTCCAGCCTCGATCTGGGTTGCCGCAACTTGAACTGATTATTCCGTGTCCTATGCTCTGGCATTGGTCTTCCTCCACTCCCTTTTATCCTCACAACAACAGCCCTGTAGGGTAGGCTAGGCTGGGGCTGAGTAACTGGCCCCAAGTCGCCCGGTGAGCTCCATGGCCAGGTCCCCCGTCCAGCACTCCCAGCCCGCACCACACTGGCTCTCGAGAACATCTGAGAAGAGGAAGAATGCCAGGACTCCGGAGATGCCGGAAGCCATCGGGCGGATCCTGTCGGTTCGCAGGCTGACGCAGCAGGAGCGAGCAAGCCGGGGTGGGGAGTGGCGTAAACATGCCCTCCCCGGCCCCTGGCCCCACTGCGCTGCCAAGGTAGCTTCCCAGTGAGCTGCTGGCACCCCCATGTGCAAGAGAAACACCTTGCTCGCTTCTTGGCCCTGGGCCACCCTGGGCCAGGCTGGGCCACCTGGATCGCCCTGTGCAGCCCCCCCCCCCCGCCCCGAGCGAAGCAGCTGGTTGCCTTGCTGGGGAAAGCCAGGCGTCCTCGAAGGCGCCGGCGAGGGCAGTTGACCCCCATCAGGAAAGCGGCGGTTGGGGACGTCCCTGCCCCCCAGCCCCGTGGCTCCAGCCAAGTCCCCCGGCCCGTTGCTGCTGCTGCATAATTCCAAGAGACAGAAAACCCCGGGAGCTCCTCCGTGTTGGCCTCCTGACCCTTTCCTAGCAGCATTTTAGCAGCCCACAACCTGAGAGCCAGTGTGGTGTCGTGGTTAAGAGCCTGGGACCGGGACTCAGGCGATCCGGGTTCGAGTCCCCACTCGGCCATGGAGCCAACTGGGTGACTCTGGGCCAGTCACAGACTCTCAGCCCAGCCAACCTCACAGGGTTGTTGTTATGGGGATAAGATGGAGGAGGAGAATGATGTAAGCTGCCTTGAGCCCTTTGTAGGAAAAAGGCAGGATAGAAATCGCAATATAAATAAAATAAATAAACCTGGGGAGTTTCTGATGGCCCAACGTAACCCTTCAGGTCCCCTTCCTTCCTGGCAGACCAACCCAGCCACACCCCCCTCGGCTCTCTCGTCCGGCTTTCCGGCTCTGCCCCCTTTGCTCTGCGAGCAACCCAGACGTCGCTGTCCAGGCCAGGATTCAGAAGAGCGTCCTCTTGGTTTCCGGGTCCCTCCATCTCCTGATGGGAGGGAAGCCTTTGCAGAGGAGAATCCGGGCTCTTCCGTGCCTGCGCCACGTCCCTCCTGGAGACGCAGCTCTGAGCGTCCCTCGTTCCTTGGGGTGTCTCGAGCGGGAGAGCCCACCGCCTCTCGGGCAGCTGGTTCCACCAACACCTTGAAGCTGTTGAAGCTGCGGGCGGCCTCGCACTGGCCAGGCCCGCCTGCGGATGGAGAGCCCTCTGACGCTCAGTGCGTGGGGAAGGGGCGGGCGCGCCCCTCGGACATGGGCCTGCCAGCGCCCCTCGCTGCCACACGCCACGCGGCGCGGCCGAGCCTGCCTTCCTTGGCGACGCCGCGCGAGCGCCGGTGCGGAAGGGGGCCAGGTGGCAGGTGTGGCTGCGAGGTGAGCCGTGCGCAGCTGGCTCCACGGGCAGGCGCACGTTGCGCAGGCCGGTCTTGCTAACGGCGCATCGTGGGAGTGATGCCACCGCCCGGCCGGCAGCTGAATGCGCGGAGCACGGCTGGACCCGGACGCACCTCGCTGGGCTCTAGAGGAGTTTCTGCCTCGCTCACCTCTGGAAGGGGATTTTCTGGAAATTGGGGTGTGTGGGAAGGAGGGGAGCTCGGGAGAGCCGGGCATGTTCAGCCTGGGGAAGAGAAGACGAGGGGGGATTGGAGAGCACTCTGCAAGGGCCCCAAAGGCCACCACAAAGAGGGGGGACACGATCTCTTCTGCCACCCCGGAGCTCAGGACACGGAGCGATCGATCGGCTCAAGGTGCAGGAAGCCGGGGTCTGTGAGAGGGCAGGAAGAATTCCCTGAGCGCTGGAGCAGCACGGCCGGGAGCCCTCGAACCCGGGAGGCGGGCGGCTCTCCCACACCGGGGGCCTTCGAGGTGCGGCTGGGCAGCCGTCTCGTCTCGGGGGTGGTTTGGCCCAGAGTCCTGCGCTGAGCGGGGGTGGACCTGATGGCCTCTGGACCCCCAGCTCCGCTGCTCTGCGGGATCAAGACCTGAGGCTGGGCCCAGCGAGGGGCTGCTGGCGCTTGAGCAGGTCCCGCCCCAAGGACAAAATTGCGGAATGCGCTCCCCAGGGGTGCCCGCCTGGCGCCGACTTCATATGCTTTTCAGCACCAGGTCAAGACCTTTTTATTCAACCATCCTTTTAAGAATTAAGGATTTTAGATGTTTTAAGATTTAAGATTACAGTCGCATTTTCCTTTCTCTTTTCAGTTTGGCGGAATTAGGATTATTATTTATTATTGCTTGTTATTTATTGTTTTAATCATTGTACTGCTACTATTGTTGCCTATAATTTTACTATTCTCACTGCTTTTCATTATTGTAAGTCACCCTGAGGCGTTTTACTGGGAAGGACAGGGTAAAAATGTTTTAAATAAATAAAATGCTCCGGCTGAGGAGCAAGCTGGGAGGCGTGAGCTTTCTAGGGCCTGGGGACGGGACTGGCCCGTGGCGGTCGCTGGCTGGTGGCCCAGCGGGCTGGTGCTGCAGCCTAGTGGGGGCCCTTAGAGCGCAGAGCTCGGTTGGCCAGGCTGGGGGCTTGTCTGCCAATCCCACCCCCCCGGCAGGATGGTCTTTGCCCCAAGAGGCCCTGGAATGCCAGAAAAGCCCTGGGCAGCTCATGGTTTGGGTCCTGCCCATGGGCAAGGCAGGCCTTAGGCGCTGCAGCAGAAGCTAATTCTGTTTTGCACTCCGTCCAGAAAGTCAGCTTTGCAATCCCAAATGCAAGACCGCGTGCGAGTTTGATGTGAGATGTCCAAAATTCAAGAAAATCGCAATTGGTTCAAAAGACACACATCTCAAAAAAACTAGGTTTTAAAAGGCACTATTTTATACCCTAGTCAATGAGGGAAACCAGACACATTTGGCCAAAAAACATACAGAAATGCACTTTTCCTGTTGTAACAAGCCAAGAAAGTGAATGTAGGCGTGAAACAAAGCCAGCGTCCCACTCCATTTCGGGGAACGTTGGTGAATTCCTAACTCGGGATTCTTCCCTCCCTGTTTCTTCAGTCACGGGGAACTTTTTACACAATGCGGCTGGCATGAGCCCCGGCTTGTGCCGCCCGTCTGAGATCCCGCGCGCGCTCGCCGTGCGGGGCGGGGGGCAGCCTTGGTGGCGTGCAGTGGCGCCCCTCAGCCTCTCCTCTTTGCCTTCCAGGGCCCCCAGGACCAAAAGGGGATCCAGGCGTCGAAGGGATGGAAGGCGAGCCCGGCCCCCCCGGCTTACCTGGACTGCAAGGTAACACACCTGGAGCCTTGTGATGGCGGGGAGAGGGAAGCCGCGCTCAAGCCGTCTCGCCTCGGCACTTCTTCCTGCTCGGGGAGCATCAGGTGGGGTGGGGAGGCTGCGCTCCGCCTGGTGAGTCGCTGCCTGTCCAGACACACCTTACATGTCCAGCCCGTCCTTGAACACCCGCACCGATGGGGCCTCACCCCCCTCCCTGGAAGCCCACTCCACACCCTGGGGGTCAGCCCAGCTTCAATCCAGCCTTCCCAACTTGGTGCTGGCCAGGGCGGATGGGACACGTAGTCTGACGCCACGGGGTCTCTCCACACCCTGGCGCTTGGGCGTGGCTCCAGCACCCGCCTCTGGGACTCCAGCGTGCCACGGCTGCTCCGGCCGTGCAGCATGGAACCTCAGCAAGCGCTCGCTCCGTGCTCGGCTCCCAGTCGCCCCCGGACTGTGTGCAGCCCCCTCCCCGCCTCGTTGCCACAGTTGTGTGTTCTGTCGCAAGCTCCCTGGCGCGACGGCCCTCGGGGAAGGCCTGGGGCGCACCCGCCACCGATCTGACCCCTCTCCCCATGGCTTTGGGGCAGGACAGGAAGGGTTAGCCGGAGGGGAGGGGAGGGGAGGGGAGGGAGGGGCGGACAGGCGGCTGGGGGCTCTGTCTTGGAGGAGGGCAGGCCTTCGAAGGGGCCCTGCCGGGTTGCGGGGGAGTCGGTGGGTTCTCAGCGAGTCCCTTGGGGCTTCGGGAAGCCTGCCTCCCCCTCCACCGAGGCTGCCGTCTGTAGAGGGAAATGGAATCAAGGGAAGCCGCTTTTCTAGCTAAGTGGAAGCTGATGCCGCTTGCTCTCGGGAGGCTTTTGGCTGCGGGACCCCGTGCCCCCCAGCCCTCGAGGGGCAACAGATGCTCCTGGCCTCATGCGAAGCTGGCCCTCCCTGCGCACCGATGCGAGGCTTTCCCGGCCCGCCCCGTCGCTCGGCTCCCGGTGGCCACGGGGGCGAGCTTGGCCAGGCTGGGGAGGCGTCCGGCCACGCCTCCCTCACCGTGGCTTGGCTGCCTCGTCCGGACTGCTGTGACGGCTGCCCTTGAAGACGGCTGGGCCCTTCCCCACCCCTACTTCCCGGGAGAATTGTGAACACGTATTAAATTTAAATATTAAATTGAGCACAGGAAAACAAGAACAACACCAGCCCAATAAGCGGCCAAATTCCCCTGATTTTTTTCTTACCCTTACATTGATAAAAATGGGCTACTCGGCATTCAAAAATGCTTCCACCATCGCTCAGACCCCCGCCCTGCTCTCTTGACGGAAGTTAACTCGTTTAGAGCTGAAAATCCCCAACCATCATGGACTCCAACTCTAATTCTGGAAGTCTGACTCAGTTTCTGGTGCTTTCCGCATTGTACTGCAGGTATGCCAGAGAAGCATTTCTTCCTCCTTGGAATCAACCCTTTAAAGTTTGCCAATTTATATTTGTTATAGCTGCTGACCAGTCTTAACGTCAAGCGGGCACTTTCCTCCGATGCTGCTGCTGATTGCCAAAACCCAGCAATGGTCCAAAACAGAAGATACCCTTCCCAGTTCCCTCCCTGAGTATTTACCGTCCTCCCTTGAGCTGTTTGTGACTGGAACCCTATTTTTGCGCAATTTTCATCCTGAGGTGCAGCTGTGGTGCATCGGCCCCCCTGTCTCCAAGGAGAACCCCACGCTCCATTCTAGCTAGAATTGGCCCCCCAGTAGCCAAAGGTTTTCAGCCCGTGTTTGCAAGTCCTTGTTCCGTTTATTGATAGGGCTACGTGACTGAAATGAGGACTCTGCAGACACTCCCCGGGCTGACATGGCAATCGCGCAAAACAGATAAGCCACAACGAAAAGGGCTGGTTTTGAAAATATGCAAAAAGCGCCATTGGACCAGCATGCATTTCTTCTGGTACTCGTGTGGAGGCTGAGCCCTGTCCGTTTGGGATCCGGGGTCCATATTAGCAAAATCCCTGTTCGTTCCGGGTTTACAAAAGCTCCCTCTTTCCATCCCTCTCAATCAATACGTGATTCATGTATTAAAACAGGGCTCAGAGAAGATGGGGGAAGGGGTGGCATCCACAGGGTGGCCACGTGAGATCGCAGAGCTAGGCCCTTGGCGGGAGGGGCCAGGGCCACGCAAGCTCCGCCACGTGGCACATGCCGTGGCAGCTGGGACACGGGGCACGGGACCCTGGTTTTCTGCAGCATTTGGCAGAAGGAAACAGTTCTGGGTCCAGTGGAGGCCCAGCAAACAGAAGCAAGCCCAGTGGCCCCAGGCCGGCACAGCACGGGGCTGGATCCAGTCGCGCCCTCGGGAAGTGTGTCCACACGCAGAGAGACGGACTTGCCGGAGGCGCTTCTTGTGCCTTCCTGGGTGCCTCTGGGACCTAGGCACCAGGTGGGATCCTGCCCTTCGGATGGGTGGAGGAAGCCTTTTCTCTGGCAGGTGTCCGGCTTTAAGAGGGCAGGTCCTCCTTTGTAGGACCATCCACTCTTTGAAGGGCTGTCCAGATAAAGAACCTGAAAAAGGAAGCCGAGCACAGCCTGGGCCCTTTGCACAACGCATCTGGTTGGGGCGCCACCTTCCCTACCTGGATAAGGTGAATTGCATGTCCCTTTAAAGTCACTCTGCTCCTAAACATGCACAAATGCCCCCCGTCAGCAGAGGCAGGTTGCAGGGAAGTCCGCAGGTTGCTTTCCGTCCTTTTTAGCTGCGCAGAAGTGACCCCTGCGGCCTCCTGCACTCTGAAGGCGCTTCTTGCCCGGCCAAACAGCATGGGCTTTAATTTTGCTTTGTTGTCCCCGTGAGGGTTTTGGGTCTTGCTGGCTGTTTAGTCTGGAGCTTATTGCTCCCGGGCTGTTTTGTGTTTTAATTGTTTTGATATATGCCCGTGTTCCCTTCGAGGCCACTTCGAGTACTGCAGAAAACATGGCACACCCCCTCCCCTGATGAGACAGGGCTCCTTCCTAGGGCCGGGGTGGGGGTGACATAAGCCCCCACCCCCATTTTCACCTATGAAATCATGGACTGTTTATTTAAAAGATTTATAGCCTTCCTTTTAGTCGGGCTTTCAAGGCAGCTCACAATAATTATGATCGATGCAAGCCGTCGATTAAAATGTCTAAAAATAATTCTGTAACAATAAGCATACTGAAGACTCTGGTGAAAACAGAGGAGGTGGGATCTTGTCTGCCAAAAGACCCAGGCCTCCCCAGCTGGTTACACGGTCCCCCTGCAGGCTTGTTCCTCTAGCCCACTTCATCCTGTCGGTATTTTAAGTTAATTCGTTTTTAATTATTTTATCTATTGAAGACTGTTTTATACCGACCCCCACCGAGGTCTTGGTTTATTTTATGCGTCAGCCCGAGTTCTGCAGCGAACGGCTGGAACGGGCACTGCTGGAGGTGCCGTCCCGAAATGGCTGCTGGCAAGCGGGGCCACTGCAGCGCCCGCGGCGGCTGGCTTGCCCGAGGCCATGGCCACGGCGGCTGATGGGGACCCCACGCCCAGATCCTGGGGGCTGCGGTCCAGCCTGCAAAGGCATCACGGCAAGGGGGCACGCGGGAAGGAGGGACGACGGGGCGGGGCGGAACTCGGGGGGTGGCAGGATTCGGGGAGCTCGGGGATGGGGCAGCTGCGGGACGCCCTCTCGGGCGCCTTCCTCCCCAGAGGGGTCCAGAGGGGTCCACGGCCTGGCGGCAGGCCGTGTCATGCAGGAATGATGGGAGTCGCAGTCTGGAGGGCACCGGCTGGGGGAAGGCTGGACCAGAAGGCTGCCGGAGCGCAGGGGCTCCCGAGAGCTGTTCCTGGGGCCCTTTGGCAGCCAGCAGGCCGTCATCCCCAGCAGCTCTCCCAGTGTGGGGGCTCACCTGCGAGAGCAGTCTTCCTGTGCCAGGCCGATGCCCATGTGGCCGGGCCCCGCAGAGTGCCAGCTTTGGGACGGCCGCCCTGAGCTGGGCACTCGCTTCTCGGCCTCCAGTCGGGCATCTTCCTGGGCGGCAGCTCTTCCGAACAAACGATGCGTGGCCACTGTGCCTGTTCCCACGGCTACGTGGGGTGGGGGGCTCGCCTGAGCATGCCTTGGGCCTAACGAACCCACCGCCACCTCCAGGACTTGGGCTCTTGGCAAAACCAGAGGAAGCTCTGGCCGCGGGGTGTCTGCGGTGGTCAAGCAAGCAAGATTCCAGACGGGCCCCAAATCCGACAAGATTTAACTTCGGTTCCTCTTAACCATCTGCCGGGGATGCGGAGCATTTCTCTAATCCCCTGCACTTAACAGCTCCTGCCCCTGTCAGAACTGGGCTGCCCTGGGGAAGAACTCTTTCTATGCTCCAGAGTTAACCATCAGGGAGCTAAGCCCCTGGCCATGTGTCTGCCGAAGGGATCAGAGGCCCCCCGAGGAGCTGTCAGCCCTCTCGAGGTGGAGAAATTTGGGGCAGGACGCTAGCGTCATGTTGGGGAAAAAACCCTCCGCGACCCAGATCCCTGACTGGCTCCCAGGGAGGCCTTCCCTGAAGGAGGGTCCACGTTACGGATGGCAAAAAACCAAGTCCCCCTTGGCTGTTGGCCCGTGGGACCGGCAGGCAGGCAAGCCCAGCGAGCCGCCGGATCCTTAAGAGAGACTCTTGTGGGTGGCGGCTGAGCCCGTCCCCCATCTGGACAGGCTGCCACAGTCGTTACGCACAGCCAGGTGGTACTTTTAGCATTTTGCAACGATTAATAGCAGAAAACACCATAGCAAAAAGCATTCCATTCTGTTGCACGTGGGCATCTTGACCTGCACTTCTGGTATCACAACACCCGTCTCCCAGCAAATTCTGACCACCTCGTTTTCTATTTTCAGCCCTCCTGTGTCCCTCTGACAGAACCCTAAGCAAAGGACCCTCACTGTTTGGTCCTCAGGAAAAATTAATGTTCTCTGGGGGGGGGGGGGTCCCTCTGGAACTCCTCGATGTGATGCCGGTGGATTTTGACATGGCTTGCCACTAAAATTTGGCAGCATTTGTAGCAGGGGCTGCATGAGGCCAAACTTGTGTTTCCGACGAGCCAGAACTGGCCCTTCTGGGCCACGGCTGCAGGGTGGCCAGCCACCAACTGGGGGGGGGGGGGGGCAGCAGGGGCTGCATTCAGTGCCCACATCCTCCTGCCATGGGTTGCCCCCCGTCCACCGATCCCAGCATGCCGGGGGAGGGCACGGAGAAAGACGGCGCTTCCTCAAAGGCAGCGTGGCTTGGGCCAGGCGAGGCTGATACTATGCTGTGCCTCTGTCACTGGACCGTCTGGAGACTTTCATGCATAGGGTACAAAAGCGTTAAATAGCTAAATAAATAAAGCAAGAAGCCTGCAAGGTGGACGAGTGACTGGCCACCAGTCTCTCCCCCAGCCAAGGAGTTTCAGAGAAACAGAGGGAGCCAGAAGAGGGTCCGGGGCCATCTAGTCTGACCCGCGGCTCCAGCCGGCTCCACTCGTGACGCGCCTGCCGAGTGCGTTCCTTTCGGGGGGCCCTCCTGGGGCTTGCGGCAGCACTGAAGGTGCCCAGCTGGCTCCGGGGCTGCTGACGTGTTTCTTCTCCCGCCTCCAGGGTTCCGTGGGGAAAAGGGACCCATGGGCCTGCGGGGAGCCAAGGGGGAGCAAGGCGACGTGGGCCCGCGAGGCTTGCCCGGACCCCGCGGACTCCCAGGTATGGCGGCTTCCTTCTTTTTCTCTTTAACGCGTGTCTCCTCCTCTACCTTGGCCTCCCACTCTGGGCACGCGGTGCCGGTGCGGCCCTTGCAGGGCACGACGGAATGCCAGGTCCCCACGATCGGAACTGGAAGCCGGCGGTGACGGCTCCGGAGCTGCTCTGGGTGCCCTCCAGGGATCCCCTGCAGCCCAGAGGCTGGATCCCTTCCGACTCCGGAATTCACGGTCCCAGAGTTTCTGTGAGCAGACCTGTGGGGGGGGGGGGGAGCCCCTGAGCAAGGGGGCAAAACACGGCACGGGATGGTTGGTGGCCGGGAACGGAGATGGGGCTATGTGGTGCTGGGTGTGCAGGGAGGCGGTGCTACGGAAACATTTTGGGTGGCTCGCCCTTGACGGCGCAGGGAAGACCCGCGAGCTCCTGCTTAGGACTGGCTTGTCAGAACAGCCCCTCCCTGTTGCCCCAAATCGGGAACCTGCTTTGGGCTCACTGGCGCTGGGGGCTGCCGACCCGGATGCGACGCCTCACCGGCTAGAGACATTCGGTCCCGTGGGAGGCAGGATGGTGCAAGGAGGCCGAGGCGGTGGGTGGAGAAGGCCTGAGTCCCCCCCCCCCAGCCCCCCCAGACAATGGGAGGCAGGAGTCAGCTGCAGGAAGTGGGCCTGTGCCAAGCTGGAGCAGAAAAGGGGGGGCGAGCACGGACTTTGCTCTCCGTGGGGAATCCCATGGCTGTGCAGCTTCCCCCAGAAATCTGACAGGGAGTAAACTTCTCCTGGAGAGTTAATGCTGGAAATCTCACCCCCTGCTCAGCCTGTGTAGGTGAGAAAACGTGAAACCACAAACATGTCCTAAATCTTTAGGGGTCTCCCTCCAAAGAAACTGAAGCCTGCACAAGCCCCCCAGACCTCGAAATGCCTCACCACTGGGAAGTGGGCAGCACAAGGCTTTTCCCGTGAAGCCCCCACCGGCGGGCAGAGGCGTGGGTGGGCCGGCGCCCAGGAGCCACCCCGCTCCCCTGGGCACAGCTTTTCTCCAGCCTGGGCCGGCTGGGCTCCGGCCACGTCTGGTGCGGAGCAGCTCTCTGGAATCTCTTCGAAATTCATTGAATGTTCAGGAATGTTTGCTCTTGGAAGTTGGCAGCCAAATTAATTCCCCAACTAGAATTGCACATCACCCTTTGATGTGTGTTTGCTTTGATTAGCCGAAAGAGCGAGGCTAAGGTTAAAAACGCATCGCCTTCGCATGCCTGCCAGGCCGCAGGTCCAGCTCCGCTCTGAGGCTTCTGTAGAATCTGGGAAGGTCACGTTTCAGTGCAAAATATCACATTGTGGAACCAAAGGCATGTGCAGAGGAAGTTCCCAGACCTCCGCACTATCCAGATCGACAGAGGTTTTGCAGGTGGGGTATCGTTTCAGCGCCGCTGTGAAAAGGTCTCCTCCTGAACTGGCCGTTCTCCAAGTGCAGCTCAGGCCGGTCGCTTTCTCCGCCTGCTCAGCCGTTCTGGAACCGGGCAGCGGCTGGATGCACTGCTCGATTGGTCTTGCTGCTGCAGTATTTTCTGAGTCCGTTTCTCCGCTGCATCCCCTGGGCTGCTTTTGTGGGTGGAAGGGGATCGGGCCCGCCTTTGACGCACGGCACGTCAAAGGGGGCTGCCCAGGGCGGTTCCACGTGCCCGCCTCCTCCGTCGCGTGGCATCCCTCTAGTGAGGATGGCCCAGGCCTGAGGGTGGGCCACATCCCCAAGGCACCCTGCATGAAGAGGAGGCCGGCGTGGCAAAGGGGGCCCCTCCTGGGCTGCCCGGCTGCCCGGCCAAAGGGTTCTGCTTGAGCATTTCAGCGGCCAGAGTTGTGTGGTTCGGGCGCAGCTTCCGTGTCTTTCGGAGCAGGGACACCCCTGCTTTTCTCCTGCAGCCCCCCCCCCACCTTGTCCACAGCCGGCCTCCAGCCAGGGATCTCGGAGGTCTCCCGTCCCAGAACGTACGGTCAGATCTACTTTTCTGCCAGTCCCAGACAGGCGACCCTCCCCTCCTTTACCCACATAGCCCATTAAAAGCACGTGTTTCCTGAGCATGTGAGGGCAGCCAGCAGTCACCCAGAAACCCCTCTGGAAGGAGCTTTTGCATGGGGTGGGGGAATCAGGGTCCTGGTCCCATAAAAGCAAAGAACTGTCTTGCTGCGTGGGACTGAGGTGCGTCAACGGGGCCCGTTGCTCCGTTTGCAGCATCTGCCTGCCCGCGGAGTTCAGCGTATCGGGGGCAGGAGGAGAGAAGATGAGACCCCCGGCCCCGGCCCGTTCCTCCCAGCGTCAGCGAAGCTTAGACCTCTTGGAGCTTTGGAAAACAGTCCCGGGGGGGTTGCCACGAAAGGGGCCGGGGTCTCGCCATCTCCCCAACCCCCGTGCAGTGCATTCACAGGGCGGCCGCAGAATCTGCCGGTAGGTACGGGGCCGTCCTGGACCACTTGGGGGCAGAGAGAGAAAAGGGGGAGAGAAAGATTTGAGGGGGCAAACAGAGGAAGGGGCCGCCTCCCCCTCCTCCTGGGCCTGGGAGAAGGCCGCGCATCTGGCCTGGCTCCGTGCCCGGATCCTAAGCCGGCATTCCCAGCATCGTATTTCCTGGCCGGCCCCTGCTGGAGCCATTAAGCGCGCCGAGCCGCCGGGTGTGTTCATGTGCCTTTCGCGAGCCGCTCCGCCCCTCGGCTGCATCTCTGGGGAGGCGCGCCTAGGGACCGAATCAGCCGGCCAGCGGGGCGGGCCGCGCGGGTGCCGAAAGAAGCGCTGGGTGGGCGTTCTTGAGGCGGGGGGTGGGGGCTACAGGGGGGCAGCATTCCTGAGCCGGCCCGTTGCACACAGATGCGCCACGCGTGTGCCACGAAACAGAGAGGCAAGCGAGGGGGACTGGAGGCACGTGGCGTGCCGCACAGGGTGCAGTGGCCCCCGGGCAGGGCGGGAGAGCAAGAGCGCCCACCCACCCATGCTCCCCAGCAACCGGCGTGCTTGGCAGGCGGCCCCTGGAAGTGTAAGTGCTGCCGGGCCGGCCGGACACGGAGAGCCGACTCCCCAGGCTGGCGGCCGCCCCGCCTCCTACGGCACAGCGTGACTCCACACGGAGGGGCAACACCCGTCCTTCGACCTGCGTTATGTGGGACTCCTTTGGATGGGGGGCGCCCCCCGCCCCTTCAGCCGTGCCAGGCGCCATTTTTTGAACTTCGCCCCTTACCCGCCACCTTCGCTAAGCTAAACAGTCCCGGCTGTTATGGCCCCCCTTGCACGAGAACTGCTCCAGCCCCTGGCTCCTTTGACTCGTGCTTCCCGGTGCCTCCTCCGTCTGCTTAATGCCCCCCCAATAAAAGTGTGAGACAAACCGGCAGTGCCCAAAGCGACAGCAGCAACAGTCGAAGCGAAATGTGCGGATCAGAGCAGAGGAAAGCCGCACAGGCAGCTTTAGCAAGAACGGGGGAGCCGAGCTGGGGGCCCTGGCGAGAGACGAACCGGCTGCGGGAGGGAAAGCCATGGCCTGTGGCCACTGCGGAGGAGGCCGTGGACGGAGCCGGGCGCCTGTCGCTCCCAAGCGTGTCCTCCGCCTTTTAGCAGGGCACCTCCAAGGCACTCGACCAGCTCCAGTCAGGAGTGACCACGCTCCTCCCAGTGCGTGGCATGCTTACTCAGGAGTAGGGGAAATGGCTGGCCAGGCCTCAATCCACCCTCCCCGCTAGGGACCGCCTGGGACACAATTCAAGCAGTATTTCCATGTGCTCGTGTGGCCCTTCCCCGGGGTTTGTGGCACAGCTGTGGCCAGACCCCAGGGCGAAGCTGAAAAGGGGGTTTTGTGGAAAGGACTCCGGCCAGGAGGAAAACCACGAGGGGCGTGTGAGAGCGCCGGGGGGGCAGGTGCAGCAGCGAGGGTGCGGGACTGGGCGAGCGCAGGCGGAAACAAGACCAAGCAGCCTTGAAGACGGACAAGGGGGGCATCGCCACAAGTGCGTGCAAAACACACGTGCCCCTTTTAGGAACAGGAGGGACTCTGCCCGGCCAGGGGGGCTGCAGCCGGCCAGACACGGAAAAGGGGGGTGGAAAGGCCACGAGTGAGGTTCCTGTGTGGGCTGGGGGGTCAGTCACAGGCTGAAGAGTGAAGGGGTCCTGCCAGCTCAGCCATGGAGACCCGGCCCCTCTGGACAGCCTGTTCTTGCAGTGCGGGACGCAGGTCAGCAGGTACAGGTGCATCCCTGACGGGCAGCTGGGTTGGCATTTAGCAGCTGCCCTTGGGGACATGGAAGCGTCAAGTGTGATCCCCCCCCCCCCGCCGAATAATTGAACAGTAATTTGCCTTGTCAAGCAAAGCACAATCGGGTTGTTTTGCCTCTGTTGAAACCAAGCAGAGCAGTCGCAGGTCCAGCTGTATTGGGGGGGGGGGATCCTATCCCAACAGTGCCGGTGCTTGGGCTGAGGCGCCCCCCCTCCCTGCTGCCCAATTTCACCATCTTACTTGTGGGCAACGAAACAGAGGGGAAATTTGGCGTTTTTTCAGGAGGAGCCAAAAAGTGCCCAGAACGCGGCACTCCCAATTTTCCCCATCCCGAATCTGCCTGGAAATGACACTTCTGAGCACTTGGAGTTGGAACCCAGATGTGGCCATCCTTAGAGTAGACCTATTGCACTCAATGGGGCAACTCAGGACCACCCGGAGTCCTGCGGATTTCAAAGGCCCGACTGCTCCTGGCATTACGAGGCCTAGATCCACCCACTGCGCAGTTCTTCAGGGGCTGGGGGATTTGCCGGGTGCGGATATCGAGTCGTCTGGGGGAACTCATTATCTTGGTTACACCTGGACAAGGAGATTATGAATGAATTAGCTCACATCCCGTGTGTGCCAAGAGATAACCGCTACCGCTCAGCCCCGGTTTGAGCACAGCAGTGGCTTTGAAAGATGAGGACCCTCTGCAGGCCAGGCGTGCTGGAAAGCGAGCCCCTGCCTGTCCCCGGGCTGATCTGCTTCCAGGGAA